CAAGGCGTAAGAAACTCGTGGCTGATTTTCCCCCTCAAAAAAGCCCTCGAAGGAGTTAAAAAATGAAAAATATAAAAAATAAAAATCTTTTATTTTCAGGCGTCGGCGGCCCACAGAGTTGACGATGTACAAAGTCAAAAAACTGTGTTAGTAACACACGAGTACAAAAATAAATAAAACAAAATAGACACAAATATAGCACAGATAATAATTAGTAAAAGTTTTATCAAATCCCACGTCTGACATGCAGCTTGATAAATCTATCTATTATAGGCCTTTCTAGCCTTTCTGCCAACACCTTCAGAACGCTGTTGCTGCTTCACCTCAGTCTACGCAACGCATGCGCAATGCATTGCGCATGATCGCGAAATCGCATCCACATACATACCAGACGCACTACAGTAAGATGGAAACCTCAACGGCGCCCTGAAGGCATTATTATATTGAATGCGCAGTGCGCTGTCTGCTTTTTGGGTATGATTAGCCCACAGGCTGACTTATAAAGGCGTTCCGATTTTTACTAAATGACGAAGCATCAAAACATAAGGAACACCATGAAATTTCTTCTAATCTTTAGTTTTTAAGGTACATACTTTCCCTCCACGTGGGTTATATGGCGAACATAATTATGTATTGTAACTGTTATGGCATAGGTACATTTAAGAACGTAATTTGTTTGAACTTTAATTTGACTGATTTTACAGTTGAGATCGAGTTTTCTTGTGACCTAGGAATCACTTTTTTTTTTTAATGGGGGAAAATCATCGAATGACTGCTCCCGCCTGGGTGAGGCGGGAGGGAGTGCCAGACTCTTACTGACTAAAAACCACCCCGTTCCTTCTCCTGCACGTCGAGCCGGAGCCCCGGTTTCCCGTTAGGTTCTCCGCGACTCCGAATCGGCATCGGCCCTATTGGGCCCCATCTGTGGTGGTCTGATGGCTCTTTGAGGCGCGCGCGGAACGCGACGCGCCGTACGCTCGGGTCTGTTTCTGGTCGGACGGGGAGCCACCCATGCTCGCCGTCCGCAGGCCCGCGCTTACGGTGGCCGGAGATCGTCCCGCGATCCCCGACGCCCGGTGTGTCCTTCGCGATGGCTGGGTTGCGAGGAGGCAGCGCTTCGCTGCCTCACGCGTCCCGCCTCCTCCTTAGCTAGCATGACTGCTTCGCAAAAGGAGGAGACGGCATCCCAATCCCCCTCGCTCCGCATCATGGCCTGCACTAGGCCCGGACGCGAGAGGTCGCCATCGCCGATCACTTCCCTGAGGACACGGCGGTGCTCAGCCCACGAAGGGCATTCTCCCACCGTGTGTTCCACCGTGTCCTCAGGGCGGTCCTCGCAGTGATGACACCCGGGCGTTTCCTCCCGCCCCATCAGACACAGGTACCTCCCGAAACTTCCATGTCCGGTGAGGACCTGCGTCAGGCGGTAGGTGAGGACGCCGTAGCGTCTCTCAAGCCACTCCTCAAAGAGGGGACTTACCGCTGCGATGGCAGCGAGCCCAGCCCTCGGTTGCGACAGTCGTTGCTGCCATTCCGCCATGAGA